ACTAGATTGACCAACAAGTTTTAGTTGAGCAGCTTGTTCAATTCGATCAACATATCCTCGAAGACCATCTGCACCTATAAAAGAATATATAATTAAATACATCAAAGAAAAAAAAAATAAGAATTAATATTTAAATATTTACTTTCGAGATATTTTCTATAAGTTGCAATTTCATTGTCAAGTGATGCTTTAAATGCTATTACTTTAGCATAGTTTTCTTCAATACGTGCTAAATAACTACGTGCTTCAGTTATCTCGCTTTCAATTCTAGTAGTTGTAAGAGAATCTAAATAAAAAAAAACGAAACAAAAAGTTTTATAAAAGTTTTGTTTTTGTTTTCCAATTGATTTACTTGATTCGCGCAAAGCTTTTGTGTTTCGTTGTAAATCAGCAATAGCATTTTGAATTTGTTGATTTTTAACAAGTAAATAGCTATTTTGATTTTGAACTTCCATTAAATTAGAACGTATCTTTTCAACATCTCGACGATATTCTTCAGTTACTATAATATTTGCATTGGTTGGTTGATTGCGAAAAACAATTTCATTAATTATTATAGAATAATGACTCTGCAATTCACCACGTTGATTTGCAATGGTTGCTTCATATTCCTTACGAATTTCACGTATTGCTAGAGCTAATTCATTACGAAAAAATATTGATGGATCAAGATCAGTTGAAACCACATTAGAGCGAATTCTCATTAACTCAGCTTCATCTGGATAATTAAAAAAATTTCAAAACAAAAAAAAATAAAGAAAAAAGGTTTGTTTTAAACGAATAATAATTTTTACGTGTTTGTTTAAGATTAGCCAATGCATCGTCAAGGGCAATTTTTTCACATTCACATGAAGATTTAAGTAATAATTCATTTTGAAGCTCATTTTGAACACAATATATTTCAGCTGTTATAGATTGACCTTCTTTTTTGTATAATTGAACTTCATCTTCAATATCAGCGATACGACGACGATATAACGCTATTTGCTATATAACAAAAAATTTATTATGATCATTATAATATATAAAAAAAAACATTTTTTTGTTATAAATCTACAGGATGGCTCAAAAGTAACCGAACAGAAACTTCTTTTCAACTTTGTTTTCTTTATAGATCCATAGTTCGATCTCATATTTGGACCATATACACTAGATGATAAAACTCAGAGAAAGAGCCTTTTATCAGTCTTTGGCTAAAAGGTTATGTCGATAAACATATGAATGTCTCATAAGTTTGTAGTTTTCTTAGAGTGTTGTGTTTTTATCTTTTGGTTTGTTTGCATCAAAACGTACAAGATGATTTCAATTCTATTTATCTTTACATTGTTTTAAACTTGTTGCGCAGCTAACTACTTATTAATGAGATATAATGAAAAGAGATATTACTTCAATCAGACAACAGTAAACTTATGTGACCATCATATAAGAAACTACGTAAGATATTCTTATGTTTGTCGAGAAATTCTTACGAATAGAGACTGATAGTAGGCCTCTTTCTCTGAATATTTTCATCTAGTATATGTGATCCAAATATGAGATCGAACTATAGATCTATAGAGAAAATAAAGTTGAAAAGAAGTACCTGTTACGTTATTTTTAGGTCATCCTATATTACGTCTTTCTGTATTTTTATTCAGCAGATGTATTGTATGTATACTAGAGACTACTTTTGTTTGCAAGAAAAATAAATTTATTCAACAATAGAATTTTCTCTATGAAAATTTTCTATGTATAAATCTTAGTTTTAAAGCACGAATTTTTATTATTAAAAAATGAGAAAGAATTTTCTTAAATTCAATTAAATAAATGATATCTTACCGCTTCATTTTCAGCAATTCTTAGTTTAAGAGCATCGACTTCTTTTTGATCTGCTACTCTTGATACTGATATATTTCCATGTCTGACTTTTTCACGTTTTAATATTTCTTCTGCTTCTAATACTTTTTTATTAGCATTAGCATGATCACGTTTTGATTCTTCAATAAGTTTATTTGCTGCAGCAATTTCTAAGTCGTACATTTCTTTAATATGTGATGAACCTCTAAAATTACAAATAAGAATATATAATTTATTTTCATTGTTCTTTTTTTTTTCATCTTACTGTCCGACACGACTTCGTAAAAATTCTAATTCCATTTGTAATTTTCTATTATGTGCTTCCAAAAATCGTACTTTTTCGATGTATGTTGCAAATTTATCATTTAAAATAACTAGATCATGTTTTTCACGTAATCGTGTTGCATTAGCTTCAGCAGCAATTAGTGCACAAGCACCAGGTGTAATAATATTACTACCTCCAAACAAATTAGCTAAACTACCACCAGATGCGAACAAACTAGCTGCATTAAGACGAGCTGCATTAAAACCAGATGCATTAACACCAACTGCCATAGTACAAGCTGTTGTAACACCAGTTGAGCCACCACGTAATGGCACACCAGCAGCATTTACTAAAGCACTTAGACCTGGTCCAGCAGCTCCATTAAAACCTGTTGATATAAAACTTTGACGCATTTTTGCACTGGTATTACTAGTACATAAACCTGTCGGACCAGATCGTAGAACAGTCACTGTACGTGGAGACATGGCTGATCGATAAGTTGTTGATACGGATGTTTCTTGACTTGCATCAATTACATCAAAAGTTCGTGATGAATTTTTTTGTAATTCTTCATACTGCTGGTACATTTTTGGTGAGTGAAGAAAAAACCAACTATAACTTTTTTTTTTGAGTCTACACAAATAACTGACAATATTTCAGCAGTTTACTTTCGTCGTCGCGTTTTTGATTACTACTACTACTATAACAATTATTTCATTTGCATTTTTATTTCCTATCTAATACTCCTTGGTCTGCCAATAAAAAAAAAGAGACAAAGAGAAAGAGAGGATTCCCATTTTATTGATAACATATTATGATAAAAAAGAAGGCAAGGTGTCCATATGAAAAAAAAAGTGTCTGTCTGTGGTTATTTTGTGGGTGTATAGTTATAAGCTTTTTATCTTTGTTGACCAAGGTGAGATTTGAAGGATAATAGTTGTTGGTTTGGAGCAAATGATAGATACATTTATCTTTTAAAAAGAAGAAAAAAAACGAATGTCCAAATGTAGACATGTTTCTTTGTCTTTTTTTTTCTTAACAAACACACGCTTAACTGTAAATAATGATCCCATATAAGATGAGATATAATAAAATAAGAAAAAAAAGTGAACAAATTAATAATCGTTTACTGAACGTAATGAATAATTAACGAGTTGCCCATAAAGAATTATACTGTTCGTGTTTTTTAATTTTCTTCCTTATTATCCCTTTTAATGAAACACTTTGTTTTTAATCACAAGATAGTACTTGAAATTCTACATATAAAATGATATAATTTATAAAAACGAATATAGTTTCCTCAATTTATTTTTTGGATTAAACGTAATCGTACAATAAAATTAAGTACTGAATGCAAAATTTTTGTTTCACTTTTTTTGACAGAACATTTTATTTCGTCTATCAATATTGCCTTTGTTGTTATGTGGTTTCAATTCATACCTTCAACCAGTTTATTTCATAAGCTAATTACAATATTTAGAACGGCAAGGTGTGGGATGTCAATAGGGACAAGACTAACAAGAAAAGTGTTGTTCATGTAAAAATAGAGTTCCAGGTAAAGATGATGGCATGGTTAGTTGTATGTAGGCAAAGTAGAGTTCGTTGGGTTCGTTCAAGATCTGACTGAGTCTGGATTTGAAAATTTTCCGTTAATCGAGCTCGGATCCAAAAATTTTCGATTTAATAGGCTCTAATAGTTTGAGAAGTGTGTAAGGTACGTTAGTCATCGAATACAAAATACTGAAGAAAGTATCTCGTATCTGGTAGGTGATTATCCCATTCTGATTAGAAATCTTCATTTAGAGCATCAAAGTACAGTTCGATTGAGTCTGAAAAGTTTAGACCCGACGGGCTCTAGGACAAGAGATCGATACTACTGCTGATTTTGGAAGATGGAAGAATGGATGTAGAAAGATAAATCAATAATGCTCTTTCAGTAGCTCTAGACTCCAGCAGCTAAATATTAGGAAATAATTGGATATATCAGCTAGACGATGCAAAACCTCACACACATCACTTGAACCAAAAATGGTACGTTGATCATTTTTCTGCATTTATCTCGAAGAATCATTGGCTACGAAGTTCACCTGATTTATGTCACCTAGATTACAATTTATGAAATGAACTGATTAAAACTATGAATTTAGACCACATAACAATAAAAATAACCTTGATAGATGAAATAAAATGCTCTTTCAAAGAAAAAAATTGAAAAAGAAAAACTTTTATATTCTGTATTTGATCTTACTGTACGATTACATTTAATTGAAAAAGAATGAAGAAAACTATATTTGTTTTTATAAATTATATCATTTTGTGTGCAGAATTTCAAGTTCTATCTTTTGATTCAAAAAAATGTGTCTTAATCAAAGGAATAATAGAAGAGAAAATTCAAAAATACTAACAGTATAATTCTTTATAGATCACTTATTATGTGTTCAATGTCATAGAAAAATTTTGAACATATAAGTTCTTATAAAAATTGTTTTTCATTCGATAGAAAAAAAGAGGGAATATTTAAGACTTTGGTTTTATTTAAAAAAAACGAAAAATTTTACAGCCTAATATTTAGACATATCACTGCAATTAACAATTTGAAGACGAAATTCATCAAAACAATTCCATTGAAATTTATCATCAAGTAGTTTTGTTCGAACTGTTCTCGGATAAAGGAACCATGTATAAATATTAAAAAAAATAACTAATGAAAAAAATATCAGAAAAACTAATCGATTATAAATATGTATAGCATATAAACTTTCTTGACTTTTTGTTGCTGATTGACGTAATAATTTTGTTAAATACGATTGTTTTGTTTTATTAGGACTATTATTAGATGATTTATCTGATGGTCCATTTTTTGATAATGATAATGATGATAATGGAATATTTGATAATCGTCGTCGAATCCATACTAATGATGGTGAACGTGTTGTTGAAGTAACTGTTTCATTAAGAGAGGCTGCATTACATAGAGTAGGTGCTGTTAAATGAGTCGATTTTTCAATGGATGCTTGTGGTTGATTTTTAGATAAAAGAAGTGGAGCTGCTGCTGAAGCTCCACTTGATAATAGATCGTGTTCAAAACAAGAACTATTGGAATTTTGTATTTCATTCATTGTTGTTGTTGTTTGTTGTAATGGATTTACAACTGATATCGATGGTGTAGCAGAAGAAATTTTTGAATCTTCTAGTTTAACAGCACGTACTGCTTTATGATGCATATTTCTAGCAAATACAATCCAAGATATATAATCAAGTGCAAACCATCGAAGCCAATACGGTAGACGTTTCTTTTCACGTAATTTATTTACCATAGCAAACCAAGTCATAGCCGATAATGAAAAAAACATACATACAGTTAAATAAAGACTTATTAAATGTACACTGTCACTTTGAGATGGTACATCTTCAGATAGACGTAAACTGAACACAGAATAAGCCAACATAATACTAATACCTATTAATAATATTTATAATTTATAACTTTTCTTCTCTTTTCTTTTTTTTTTGGTTAATTCAACTTACCTATTTGCATTTCTTGAGCAAAGGGTATCTAAAAAAAAAAGTAAATAAATAATTCTTCTGCTAATTATTATTATTAATATTTTACTTACAAAAAAAGAGACAAGTGTTAAAGTTGTTAACATTAATGCTGGTACAACAGTATTATAAATAGCTTGTAAAGGTTTTCGTACAATTAAAATTGTAAAATTAACTTCATAAAATGTATCAGGTTCAACCCAATTTGGATAATCAACTGTTTTAATTGATTGTGTTACAGCTAATAATTTCCATTCATTATTTGGTACATATTGTGGTATTTCAGGTTTATTTTCCCAAAATTGATAATGTATTAAAGAACTTGTGTGACTCCATGAACCAAATATCATATCACAAGTTTGTTCATCTTAAGTTAAGATAATAAATAATAATATGAGAAGAAATATTAAAATTCAAAAGTATATTCTCTACTTTGGATATTTATTTATGATTAATGTTGGTTATTTTTTTTTTGAAAAAATTAATAAAATCATTTCAGTGTACATCATAATTAATATTATCTCTTCTTTTTTTTAATATGTATATAAAATATCTTAATTAAAACTTTAATATTATTATTATTATTATCTTTTTTCTTTTTAATAATAACAAAAAAAATCAATAGACTTAATTTTATGTAAAAAACCTATTAGCACAATCCTTGAGGGACTAAAATGCAAAACACAATGCAGCTGTTGTTACTAATTAAAGGGAGATTGCTGCACACTGTCTTTTTCGTGACATATTTCTTTACTATCCTTTTGCTTAATCCTTCGGAAGTACAATAAATAATTTGTGCATATTATAACGAGATCACATTTAAAGACGATCTATGACCGTATATCAACTGGGTCTGTCATAGTTTATGCTGCTTCTATGGTTATGCTTGTCATGATCTGTGATGCTTCTATGAACATGTCTGTGATGAGCCGTTTCTAATATATCTGTCAGGCCTGTTGGAGAGGAAACGTCCAAATTTCTATCTCTACATGTCGACACTCCTTTTAGATCATGTTTCAACAAACAAAAATATATTTATAGAAAATTTTAACTAGATATAATTTGTATATAGTTATGCTATTTATAGATTTTTAAGGCCATTTTATATCATGCAAGGAATTGCCAATCTATTCGGTATTAAAATGAAACTAAAGCAGGTTCTTTTTTCTTAGAAGAGATTTATATGATTAAGATACTGTTTTATTGTAATAGCTTAAGAATTATTACCGAAAGGAAAATGTTTAATTGTCATTCGACAACGTGTCCGTAATTGGGCAAGTGGTAATGGCCAAAATACTGTTCCATTATAACTCACAATCATATTTTGTGAATCTTGTGGGAGAAGAAAGCCGGCATTATCAGCTGTATTGTATAAAAATGTATCTGGATACCTAAATAAAAAGTTTCAAAATTGAAAAAAAAAAAGAAAACAATTTTAATCATACCAAACAGATGTTGCTGGTATTCGAATCCAAGTAATATTATTAAAATTTATTGGATTCCAAACGAGACGTGGATCTATAAATTTTTTTTTTGTGTTAATATTAAAATATAAAGAAATAATTATGTATTTCTTTTTGTTTTTGCTTACCTTTCCATTTTTGATCAACAAAACAATTTGTAACAATAATTTGTTCTTTTTCAACCATTGATATAATTTGATTAAAAATAAAACGAATATCAACAATAACTTCTTTTGATGGACGAACTTTTTTTAAATATTTTGATTCATTTAAAAGTGTACGTATTAAACGTGTTTCTTCTTCAAATAAATTAAAATTAGCCAAACAAAAAATTGTTAATGGTAATAATAAATATAAATAACAATATAAATAGACATATCGATTCATCATCATTTTTTTCTTAATTATTCTTGAGAATCAATTTGTATAAATATATTTTTTTATATCTTCAAAAGAACAAGAAAAAAGAAAATTATTTATTTCTTGTTTTTCTTCTTCTTAGAGCATTCTTCTACTTCAAACCTATTACAATCAATAGAAGATAACAATAGTTATAGCAATCATTATAATTGTATTAGCAGTGTTCGGTGTAAACTTTCAATTTTCTGACAATTCATATATATATTTATACTTGTTTACTGAATGACAGTGCACGCAGTCTAAAAAGAAGAAGGAAAGAAGCAGTTTAATTATCTTTAAGCATGATGAGCAATAAGAAAAGGATGTAGAAGTAGTTATAAAACTAATTAAAAAAAACGGGAAATACTTGTAGCAAGTCAAGTGATATTAATGACGAAATAAAGAAAAATCAAATGCATATGTTGAAATAAATTATTTTCTATACCGGATAAAGCAAAGATCAAGTCCTCAATTACAAATATCATAGATGACTTTCATTAATTATTTCCTGTTGTGACATGCCTACAAACATAAACTTAAGAAATATATATACATATATATGGATAAGAAGATGGATAGATATGAATAATCATGACATTAGAATAGAAAAAAAAACGAGAGGATGATTACAAGCAGTTGGTAGCATTCAATTTCAGATAAAAATATCTGCTTGTCATTGAATCTTTTTTCAACGACGAACCACCGGCTTATATATATATATTAACGAACTTACACTTAAATTAAGAATAAACATATGGATCGGATCATATAGACATCGAGAAAATTTGTTGATTATTTTCATAATAAACAAAAATTACGATTGAAAAAGAAAGAGAAAGATGAGACAAATCTTCAGATCCTTAGGGAAATTTTCTATTAATAGAATACAACTAAAATTGAATTAATTGATATTTCACTATGATCTCATTAAATATTAATATTACTCGTCGCTTCTTGTTTCAGTATAGAATTCTATTTACATATGCGATAATAATAATGAATAAAAACGATAAAAATAAATCCTTTTATATATGTACACATACGTCTTTCTTATACGTTTATTATTCTCGTCAGTGCAACTATAATTCCTGTTGAAATATTAATCACAGTATTGTGCTTTAATACTGATTCATTGTATTTTTTTTTTGATTATTTTATTTAGATAATTTTGAGAAGTAAGAGAAAAAGAAAAAAAAAAGGCAAATTTTTTTTTTGTATCATGTCGACAAAGTTCTTATTTCTCTCTCACTTTTTCATCTTCATTATTGTTGTTATTTTATGACTAAACACAAGGCGAGATTAAATAGTTATACGGAAAAATAAAATTACCAAGAAAAAACAAATAGAAGTTGTTGAAAAAAGCTTTAAGGTAGAATATTAAGGTAATGTCAATTGAACATAATTATCGGCACACAAATATTGACATAAAAAGAAATGGAATATATTTATAAAAGTCTCATGAAAGAATGGTGTCAACTGATCAATTGCGTTTTTACCAAACGATACTCAATTACGAGTTATTAGCCATGCTGATTCACAATATGGTCATAAGAAATCCCCATAGACCTTTCTATGCTGATTTTGTAGAAAACTAATATTCCATATTAATAAAGATCTTGCTAAGATCTACTTAGATTATAGAGTATATCGAGTTGTGTATAAATCAATAATTTTTTCTGTTTTTCAAAAATGAATTTTAAGTAGAAAACAAAAAAAGATTTTTACATCGAAATGTTGATCTATTGTATGAATTAATATGGCAGTATTTTCTACAAAAAAAAAAAAATCTGATTCGAAACTGTAAAAAAAATTTACTGTTTTCTAAGCAATTCGATATGCTCTAAAATAATATTTATATAAGACAAAATTATTTTAAAATCTATCCTCTTCGCAAAATATTGAAAGGATTACATGAAAATAATGTTCTATTTCGATGCAATTTTGATTTTGATATGTACACTTCAGATCTTTAGTTTACTTAATGTTGAACATACGAAATTGCATATCTATTCAGTTAAATTACGTACCGAATTCTGTTAATTTTGAGCAAAATTTTCTTAAAACGAAACTCTGTTTTCATGCATTTTTTTTTCAATGTTTTGCGAAGACGATAGATTTTAAAATGATTTTGTCTTAGATAGTAGCAGATAAAAAGATGTCCGAAATTCTCATCTTTCGATTGCTATTGTCAAATCATTGAGACTACACTCATCTCTCTTTAATTCTGACGCGCATACTAATAGCTTTTGTTAAAAAAGAACAACTCATCAATGGAGAGCATTCTCTTGTCAGTTATTTCTCATCTTAATTGACTGATGACATTTAATTTATATTAAATTATTTGTCATCACCAAAAATAAAAACACACTTGAGCATTGTCTTGTTTTAACAATACATAATTGATCATTATTGTAATACAGTAAAAAAAAAACAATATTCTTCAAGCAATAAGAAAAACAAAAAATGTTTTGCTATTATTATCACGCATGAAAACAATGTTTATATCATTATCGCTCGTCAGGAAGCGTGCATGGGTGTGTACATTGTTTATTAATAAATGTTTGCACAGATATTTATTTATATATATATAACCATAAATAGGCAATCCCTTCGTAAATTATTATCTAGTCTAGAAAAGATCTAATACACAGAAAAAATAATTAATATTAGAAGCTTATGACGGAAGTTTTGTTTCATTTATCAAATTGTTTCTAAATGTCCACGTAGAAGAGGTTTTAATTTGTTTTTTAAATCTGTTGTTGATGATGATGTATAAGCATCAATTAATAATGGAATATGACATGTCAATACTCGACCATACCATGTACCCGATGGGTAAATGACGACATTACCAGCAAATTTATGTCCACCTAAATATAAACAAAAAATTTTCGATTTTGGTAGTTTTTAAGAAAATAGAAAACTTATTGTTGAAGAAGACTTATAAGAAATTATTTATTTATAAAAGAAAATTCTTTTTGATGAACTTACCGATATGACTTATTTTTAAACAATGAACATTATCAGTACGATTAGTCTTACGAATGTACTTTTCTATTTCATCAACTAAAATTGGTCCGATTACTCCTAGAAATAGAAAAACAAATAGATAGATATTTAAATTGTTTAATTAATATAAATAAATGAAAAAAAAATACTATTTGACAAAATACTTTGATGAAATTATATAAATAGAAACTAGGGGAAGACTTTTCAATAGAGTTTATCATAGTTGATGGCTTTCTTTGTCACGTAAAAGCATTCATTTCCGTAGAACATAATTCTTTAGATATATATCTTTATTTAAATTATAATTTTTAAATCAAAATTCTATATTAGTGATTTCAGAGTTCCGGTTCCGTTGTACTCAGTACTTATTTATGAGATCTCTTGCTTGGCATCTATCAGTGAATAGAAAACTTCATAAGATTACAAATTCTACACAAGCTTTGTACAATAATTCAATGTTCATCAGACATGATCATTATTAATTAACTATATACATAATCTGCTTTCCACATTATATTCGCTATATTATTTTTTTTGTCTTGACGAAATATACGTATGCTATAGAAAATAGAAATAAATCTATGATCAATTAAAGTACGAAATAATTATTTGTGGAGAAAAAAAACCACACAAGCAAATAAAGAACACATTGTCTACCGAACCGACTGATAACATTATCGGTTACAACTCTAACAACGGAAGTCGTCCAACTTGTCCTATCGCTTTTGAGTCAGGACTATGTGGATTATGTAGATCCAAATGAGCTATGAATACTCTGAAACGAGTTCTTGCTAGAAGCTTAGTGCTATAGAGATACCGCACTTTTATGGTATTTTTAAATGGATACCACCGTAACAGAAAAACTGATTTTCGAATTTCGACTTGAAATTTTGCATAGAGACAGATCTTAATGAGGAAAGTTTTTTGTGAATGTTTCAGATCTTGTCACTGTTCCTATCCTAAGGTAGAACTATGGTAATAACATGTCTTTTACATCACACATATAAACCAGCAAAATTGATGTTCTTATGTCAGGATAGAAGCAAATCAACAGACATGAAACTACTCTCATCAAGACCTATCCTTATGCAAAGTTTCAAGTCGAAATTCGAAAATCAGTTTTTCCGTTACTACAACATTCATATAAAAAATACTGCGAAGTAAGTGCAGTGTCTCTATAGTAATAAGGTAAGGGTCCGAACTCTTTTCAAGGTATTCATAGCTCATTTAGATCTATATAATGCACATAGTCTCGATTGAATAGTTGGAGGATTTTCCTCATACGTGTTGAAACAAACTTGATTACTCTACTTCATCATAATTTTACATCATTAAAACTTCAAATTTGAATGTTACATGAATAAAATAATTTTAACATACCACATCGTTGATCACGTTGATAATGACAACAAACAAGTATCCAAAGGCCATGTAATTTTTCACATATAATATTTTCATAAAATATAGGCAAATGATTATTTTGTTTAAGTTGTTCTTCAATTGTTTTTGTTGTATCTTTTATTTTAATAATTGATTCATCATTAATGAATAATTTTTGTACAATATCTTTTACTTGTTTCATATGAACATTATATAATTTAATTTGATCAGGAAATAAATACCAATCAGCTATTTGTTCTGAATTATTTTTTGATATTATCGATGTTGATGTTACTTTAATTGAATATCCAATAGAATCTTTATTTTCATGTAAAATTTTTGTTAATTCTTTTATATAATTTCCTTGTAAATCTTTAACATCTTTTGGCCATTGAGAAGGTAAAATAGATTGTCCAATACATAAATGACGACAATGTTTTTCAACAGAATTACTCATATTACTTTGATCAATTCTTTTAAGTATTTCAGGTGGATAAGAAATATGTTCTTTACAAGGTATTTCACAACCTGTACATTCATCGAAACGAGTAGATTCTAAAAAATAAAAATAAGTCTTTCATGAATAAAATATTTTTTTTTTTGTT